CGGTTGTCATGCCGACTAATCCAAACAAGAGAAAAAATCGACGATCGTGGACTGACGCAATACAGAGCCACAGACATGTACATATAGACAGAATTCATTGTAGTAGTAGCGATCTTTTTGATGAAAAATCTCGGAAACTAAGGCCGAGCGGCGGTTATATGTATAGGAAAAAGTTGGTCAAAATGTTGATTTCTACAACATATTCAAAAATCATCGAAATCGGTGAGACCCGCCCTTTTCTAAATAATTACCAAAAAATTATTCTTCGAAAATATAATGTGTGGCCAGAAATGTTTCCTAAAAATTTCGTGCGTATGTTTAAAAGGTAATAACTTCTGGACGGATTGAAGGATTTTAATGATTCAAAATTCAAACAAAACATATTAATGGAGTCCTAGAGCCCCAGAAAAATGAGACGAAAAAATACATTGGATGTAAAGTCTACTCGTATATCTTGTTTGTGGCGAGAATTAGTATTGCGCGAACGCAGCTGTTTGCAGGTTGTCGTTCTAAAGGTAGAACTTTAAACGTTAATAACTTGTTAACGAAGCCTCGATCAACAAATTAGTATTCTTGATTTTCGTCTTAGTTTGGTCTCTAGAATCTCCCATTCAAATTTTTCCCAGGGGTGGCCGAATAGCCTGTATAAGACATTGCGAGCGTGGGTTTTCAGACTCCGTTTTCGATAAGAGCACGCGTGATAGCAGAAACGGCTAATTCGTTGTAATTTGCGTATCACTACGTGTACTAGCGGAGAAATTGCTGGTAAATGACACGTTACGCGCGACAAACGCACGCGGGCTGCACGCCGCGACGAGTTTCATTAACGCTCATTATGTTCGTTTCACTCGCAGGTTCTTGAGCTTTCATTGCGGATACGAAGATCAGATTAATATCCTCGCGATACCGCGATTAGGGGTCGCATTATTACCGACGATGACCGTCGAATGAAATCTGACGATGAAAAATAGTACAACGGAGGACGAAAGCGACGTTGTTGCTGGACAATTTATGGTTGCTAGATTGCTACTAATTTAGGCGGTGTTTCGTCAGACGTTACGAGTATCTAATTCACCAGAGATCAGGGATACATAAATAGGAGTCTTTAGTTATTTCTCTTATTTTTCGTGAATCTTCGTCAATGAAAAATAATAATAGTATCATATCCGTACGCTTTGAAATTCGATCGGCTGGGTTTATGAATCCAGAGCCTGGGAATGCGATTTACGTTTTATCGAAGCATTACTGCATTTAGAATCGTACGAACTGTATACATAACGCGTGCGTTAATCAATCTTATCGTCCATAGTGAGACTGATATTTTGAAAACAACAATGGCGTACGACCGGCCATGACATACTAGGAATTTTGTCATTGTGTGGAATTAATAGGAACGTTATAGGCTACGTTAACCTCGTGTCACCGATGATCACCATTCCAAATTTGCAACTTTTCTTTAATGCCTTTACTCATGTTTCTTTCAATTTAAATGGAATCTTTCCTCTTCCGTCTCTGCAGAATTTTCTTCCAATTTTCCAGATTTTAACCAAGCATCTATTAGTCCGTTCGTTAGAACAACAATTGCTACAAGACAAGATCAGAAAGAAACAGTTCAATGATGTTTCTCCAATAATGTATTTTCTAGCAGTAATTACTACGATATAAAATGGTAATTCCTCCGGAAATTATAATAATTTATACAAGAAATATTGTACACGCTGATGGGTCGGATGGGTTAAACACATGGACGAAAGCACTCATTAATTTTATATTGTTACCCATGCACATTGCAAATGAAGTCCATGTACGCATGTATTATCGACATTGGTATTAATTGATGTGTATCACGAAGAGGTTGTCGGGCAGATTTTGCACATCGTGAGTGTAATGTCGTGCTCGTTCGGACTCGCGGATATAATTTGTAACGAAGACAATATGTTTTCCTTTCTTAGCTACAGCTATACGTTGTTATCAACCTAATCTTGAGAATAACAATAAGAAGATAGTTATAGAAGTATATTTTGTCCATTCTGCTTTGTGGCAACTTGCTAGACCCGAGAATGTCTTGTTCTTCGATTCGAATCAAAGTAATGGCTGGTTCGAGTTTAAATTTCACTACAGTTTTGGGAGAATGTTAACGAGTGTCGAATCGAAGCTGACCAATCGCTTCCATAGAAAGTCTGACTGCAGTCTGGTGTGCATAAACGCGTGCAAGCTGGAAAGGAAGTATCAAACTAGATAAGCGCAGCGATATTCATTACTTCCGTCTAGCGTGGATGCTGCGCGTTACATTCGTCCGTCCGCTGGGAGATTCGTGAATTGGTCCCTTTCTAATGTAATCTCGCAACTGTTCCTCCATGGAGTGGCATTCCCCAGCAATAATGTATTTTCTAGCAGCAATTCAATCATCCGTGGCTAATTCCACCCAGCATGTTTCTGCTCTTCTTGTTCTGTGATCGATTTTCAGAGTCATAGAATCAATCTTTTAACAGTCTAATAAACTTACTATGATATAAAATGTAAGAAAGCATTTTCGTTATAACGTTTCTCACAAAGAGGGTACCAATGTCTTCTTGGCCAATACCATTTCAAAACAGGTTTTTAAAATTGGTAATTATTGACTCACCCTCGCAGTTTTCTGCGACCGTTTTATAAACAATTGCACTGGCTTTTCACATGCAAAGAGAACTACGCACGTCTACGTTTGATTTCGTAATTATTGTTGAATCATTTCCTCCTCAGAAAGTGGGCCATTGCATTGCCAGGAATAGGTGATGCCGAGTAGAGCAAAGTCTGGACAATACACCGAACGAATTATAATTGTCAATATGGATGGATGACACAGGTGACCCGGTGTAAATGGTACAATCGATCGTTGAAGTCTAAAAATTTTTTTAAAATTAACATCTACAGCTGCAGATAAAATTAAGTGGACAGTTAGGGGAAATAAGTATGAATTAAATTTAATCAAAGTAGTGTAACTATTATGCACTTAAGTTTTATATATTATATATCTCAATGGTACATATATTATTTAGCGAATATTTGAAACTAATATTCAAATTTTTGTTGAAATGAAGTTTACTTAACGAAAATGTTGGTTGATTGTCGAGGGACAAAAGTAAGTGGACACTCGTTCAAAATGTTATTACAACGCGAAAAATGTAAACAAGCGCGAAGTACCATTTTCACTGTCACGCAGTAGTCTCAAATGAACTATTTGGTTGATGCATAAGTTTTGCATGAAACAGATTATTTGTAAGGAAACAGCAGAATGTCAGTAAGAAAAGAATTTTAAAATCAAATTCGTAATTTGATTATATCGAACTGTCAAAATAAATTAAGTTACTGTATAGTAGCAAAAAAGTACAGTTTTCCTAAAAGTACGGTCGAAAAAGTTTATGCAAAATATTTACTATATGGTACCGTTGAAAATTGAAGAGGTCGCGAACGTAAACGTTGTACCATCGCGAGAGAAAATCGTCAAATTACTCGTAAATGTCGATAAAATCCAAGAATCTCAGTGCAAAAAATTGTTGAAATGTTAAAATTAAGCGCGTCATTGAAAATAGTACGACAAAGATTGCAGAATACGGGGTTAAGATACTATAAATCCAAACGTAAGCCGCACATTAACACAATCAACAAAAAACGAAACGTTTTTTGCTAAAAAATATACAAATATACCAATATCATTCTAGAGAAGAATAATATGGAGCGATGAAAACAAATTTAAACTGCAGCAATTAAAAAAAAATTATCGTGCATGGAGGAACAGAAACGAAGCATACAAAAAGCTGTATTATTACGTCAACCGTTAAATTTGGTGGATGGTCATTAATGTTGTGGGGGAGCTTTTCATGGAATGGAGTTGGCGATTTGATACAGTTCGACGGTATAATGAATACAGACAAGTATATTGGAATAACAAACGAAAATTTAGAAGAGGCAGTTATAAAAATGGGGCTCGAAGAAGAATATATTTTGCAATAGGACAACGACCCGAGGCATACTGCTAAAAGAAAAACAAATATTTTTGAGGATTCCAATATTAAATTAGTGGAATGGCCGACACAAAGTCCGGATTTGAATCTAATCGAAAATTTATGGAGGGTACTGACTTCAAACGTGCGATTAGAAAAACGGCAGAATAAGAATAATTGCTTTAAGTATTTACGATTGGCGTTTGAAAATATTGACAAAAATTACATTGAAAATCTGATAAATAGCATTCCACGATATTTAAAAGTAATTATTGCAGTAAAGGGTGGTCACACTAAATATTGATTTTATATTTTTGTATATCTTATTACCTGTCCACTTATTTTCGTCCCTCGGCAATTAATCAACATTTTCGTTAAATATACCTTATTTCAACACAAATGTAAATATTAATTTCAATTATAAGTTAAATAATCTATCTACCATAAAAGTATATAATATATAAAACTTAATTCCATAATAGTTATACTACTTTGGTTTTTCCTTTACCTGTCCACTTAATTCTGTCCGCAACTGTACGTTTGCAACAAACACCGAAGAAATAACTGACGATGATGATTTCGAACAAGACTTATTTATATTGCGATATTTAAGGAATTAGAATTAGATCCAGAAGATATATATTACATTATTTAGAGACTTTGCGATGTGATATTTCTTAAAATGGTCCGTTTTTAATGTAAGTAGTTACAAATCACCTGAATACGATTTTCGTTGAAAAATTTTTATTACAAGATTTTTAAAAATTCGTTTGATTTGCAACGGAAATTCCAAGTCTGCTTGAACGGAAAGCTCGGCACGGGGTGTACACGGAACGCGTCAGCGTTGGAAAAACCGGCGAAAATGAAATTCGCGGTCGTGAGGAACGAGAGAAAGATCGAAACCGTGGTCGAAGAAGTATCGACGCGAGCCGAGTTTCGCCGAGAATCGTCGAGAAGGAACGAAAGGCGACGATCGGCGCGTGTTCGTGGTTGGAAGCGGGAGTCTCGAACCGCGCGGCAACCAGTTCGAATCCAGCATTTCTCGGCGAAGCGTTCGAGCGGGCATTCTCTTTCTCGTACTCTGCTTTACATCGCCGAGAATAACACGCCGGTGCCCGGAAATGTGCAGGTGAAACCACTCGACGGAAACGCGCCAAGATTGTTCGGTGTTCAACGACCAATAAGTGGCCATCGCGACAACACAGCCAACTAAGCGTGGAATTGTTATTTCGGGGAAGAGAAGATCCCGCTACTATACCACCATGGTCAGTGGCTACTGTTTTTTTTTCGATACACGACTGAAAACAATCGGAGCATAGTTTTCCTAAAGGGACACCAATGAAATTGTGGATAAGTATCCATATCGAGTAACCGTTTCCCTGAATTACAGTATACGTTTGTACTCCCGTCGCTTTTTCTTTATATTAGAAACACGAGTTCCTTTATGTAATGAAAAGTACCCAAAGGTTAACATCGAAAACATAATTACGCGAAATGCATAAGCACGTAATCGCCTTGCAAGGAAGTTTATCGGTTTTAACAGGTGGTAATTGTGTAAACACGAATGACAGATTTAATATACTATTTAATCTGAGCTCGGTAGAAATGCAGTTTTCTATTTATTAAATAGTTAATTTTAAGCCCAAAGGGGATTGAGGCCGAGTCGCCACGTAGTCGTTTCCATTTGATTTTAATTCGTGCTACCTATCGTAACTACTTCCGTTACCCAGTCTGTTTACGCAGGTTGGCCAGTTTATTAACTTTCGATTTCCCATAGATCGTTTATCGCGTTGGTTTCGCTCAGTTACAAGGAACGTGCTCGTAGTTTCGACCTACAATAGTGATCGATAACCGTTTCAACCGTGGGTCAGATCAAAACCAAAATACTTTGGAAGCCCGTGGGACGTAATATTTTTTAAGGCACTACGACCAATGTCTGTTATTGCATTCGATTGCTTGGCCCATTAGATATACAATTTTTAAAAGCCACTGTTTATCGTTCATTTTGTCAAACTTATTTTATATTTTGCAAACGTTTCTGCAGTTTCTTTTTCTTCTCTGGCACCCCCGGTACCATCTCCTTGGAAGTTGTCCAAGTACCGACAGTGTTTTCGTTCGTTTGGAACCGTTTGAACTCGTTGTTGGACAATCGGTGCCCCTTTGTTGGCGGGACGAGAACGATCGAAGACAACATCGGGTTAATGCGTTCAAACTATCATCGTTGCCATTACTTTTAATGTACTCGATTGTTCTTGTTATGTTGCGAAGGTAAGCCGTGCAATGTGCGTCGCGGCGACCGGTCAATCAACCTCCGGTGTTTATACCCTTTTGAACATCATCGTCCCCGTAACAAACTGTTGACCTCGGTACGAAGGGGAATTACGAGTTACTCGTTATCGGCGAATTAACGCCGAGGGGACGCTGCGATTCTATTTTTAGCATTTTCTTTTGGAACGCGAACGTCGCCCAACAATCCCTATAAAATTTGCCAAGGGTCGCTCGAGAGTCGGGAGTCGTTTGATCGGGATCAAGAAAGTTTGCAAACGGAATTGCAACGAGTTAGCGCTTTGACCTTGATTAAACTTCCATCGACGAAATCTGTACACGTTCCTATGGTTTCGACTCTCGTGTAAATCGTGCCAATTCAAATTCATCAGGACCGTCTAGATTAATTTGTGTTCTCATTGGAAAGTATTACAATTTTCTATTTTTCGTTCAAAGTCTGTTCGAAACGACAGTATGTCACTGTCTCTAAGAGTTTCTTAATCGCGTTGAGCGTTATTCGAACAACGAATGAAATCTTTATTCGTCTAATTTGAAATAATTTTGTGGCGTCCAGGTAACGCGACTTGTCCATGGGTTAGGATTGCACTCGAAGTCACAGTCGAGTGCTGCATTTCCCTCGTTTATGCGTTCTAAAGAAAGTTCGTTGTGTTGGAGCGTTTAACGGCGTGCAATGAAGTATGAACAATTTCGTTCTTATCGTCGTCGGTTCGTAGCAGACGCGTTATTATGTAGAATACATTCGCGAAGTTTTACACGGAGTATCGAATTCGTGATCGTACGGTAAACAAAAATATTTCGTCGTAGCAAATTTATACGATATACGAAGGCGCGGGGGAAAGACGTCGTTCGATCCGTTTCGAAAGAAAATTTGTCGACTTTCATCTTGGGAAATCAGTTTGCAGGGGAACTGCAATAAAAAAAAATCAACATTTTCCAAGTCGTTCAAGTAATTGCAGAGGGTTAGCGAATCGCTTTTGCAATGATGCAACGATAATCATTCCTTTATCGTTCTTTGTTAGAAACATCGTAAAAGTACTGGAAGCATTACACACGCCTGTTTAATGGCGCGTAAATTTCATCCACGCTCGTAAGTCCGTACGGACTGTTCGAAATTCGTAGAAAGTTTCGAATATTGTCGAAGATTGGCAGTTCCTGAACATTTGGAACGTCTTAAACCGTTCGTTCGGTTTCCGTGAACGATGAAAAACTATTCGAACGGTTTGAAATATTTTTATCGAAAATATAATCCAAAAAAAGCGATGAACAATTTCGTGTAGCTTTAGACTTTGTTTCCTAACGTCGATCCTAAAGTTTGTGTGTAGTTTCTTATTGTAGTAGCGGAAGAGTTTTCCTATCGACTTAGGACCAGCTGGAATTCTCCCCACCCTTTTGAAGCTCTTCTAGATTCGTGATCGACCAAAGTCACAATTTTCGATTGTCGTAAGATCGTTTTAGAGTGGAAAAGGAAGACGAAACCGGTCTCCATTGTGGCGAATCGTGATGGCTGTAAAAGCAAATATCACTTTTCCCCGCGAGCGTTCAAAAGACAGCGTGCACGAAGGTGTTCATATCATGCTTTCAAACCGGAAGAGATATCCGAGTTTAATTTATCGGTTACGAAGGACTGGTCCACGATGCTGTGGCCGCGTAGAAGGAAACGGAGATGACGTGCTCGCGTAGAGAGGAATACGACTTTCTTTCTCTCCGTTTCTCTAATTTAAATATGGTGCCCATCGATAGTTGCGCAACACCCATCGATGCGTGTAGCACTTGCTACGATCGACGTTACGTTATCATTTCTGAAGCTGATTAATCGGTCGATTCAGTTCAAGCGTAATCCTGCCTCTAATTTCTCAACAAAATCAACAACATATTCCCTTCGTCTATTTTATCATATTATTAGATAATACCAAACAATACATACTTTATGGTTTTATCGTTGTCGAGATCAGTTTCGAGCATATTAAATATTTGCAATTTCTGTGATTCGTGATGCTTTGACCAGAGGCTTTTGTTGGCGAGCTACAAAAGGATTTGCTCGTCGACGAGCAAGTATTAAACGCGGGGACCTTGTCGATGGAGACCGCAAACGGATTACGTTTGGAAAAATCGTGACCGAGTTTTCACGGTTATTTCGTAACATCGGGAGGATCTCGCTAATACGTGAAAATTAAATTGCTTTCGGGGAAAACGTACAGCGACAAGTGAACGTGTAAACACGCGTGACGCTAATCTCGTCACGAAACGATTTTGAACTTAGGGTACGAGAGGATGATCGAAATTAGAAGATTGTATTAGAGTCTACGCGTAAAACTGTCGTCGCGATATTTAGTCCATTTTCCCTTTTTATCCGCTATCGCCATTATTTTTCTGGCACACTTTCTATTAAATTATGGATGATTTCTAGTTCGACATCGTACCGTTCGTCCTAATCCACAATTCGCAAACGCCCGATGACCATAAGCTATCAATCGGATTCAGACATTAGGTTTGCTATTTCGCGAGACAAAATTTCTTTTTTTATTATTTTAGCTCTGTATTTAGGATCGCGTTTAGCCTTCAGAAATTTATTTTCAACGCGTTATCTGTTACCCGAAAGTACCCAGGGCGATGTAACATGTATCTAATCGTCGAATCTTTTGAAATAAAAAACTAAAATCAAGTTTTATAATCCAAATGTACCCAACAACGATTGAATCGATTTACGTAAACGGTGCTCGTACACTGTATTTGCATAATTGGGTTATGTTGAAAGTATAATAGTAATCGGACGTCGGGCTACCCGGATATCCGGGTATACGTTTGCCTACAGAAGCGTTTCTAACCGAAGAGAGCATGACTTTGGGGTAGCAGAAAAACAAAAATAAATAGAAAAACGCGCCTATTTCACGATCAGAAGGTTCTTTGCCGCGCTGTGAGTACTGATAAACGAACGGTTGAAAACGGGGAAACGTCTCTCTGTCTCTTTCAGTCGTTTCTAGCATGGTTTTATTCGCTGCGATCCGGTGATTTGAACGCTCGAAATGAAATCGTGCGACGAGCTTCCGCGATGGCGATTACGTAATATAATTTAAACTAGACAATGTCTCTGTATATTTAGATGCGAAATGAAGATAAGATAAGCGCAATGAATCATCGTTTCCTAAAGTTTCCTGCCATAACAGAAATGATTATTGTTAACTGTGCGGGATTCACAAAATATAATGGTACTTTTTCGTAAATAAAACGATAAACTCGGTTTTGCACTCCTGTAAAAATACCAAGAGGTCATTGCGGGAGAAAGGAACGAATCGCATAATTAATAAGTGATAATTTCTATCTAAACTCACGTTAGAGAAATGCAACGATCGCGTAATAATAATGGCCACGTTGAAATTATGCACATTATTTTCAGAGACCGCTGTGGCAGCCTTGTCCCGATTTTTCCACGCCTGATCCGCGATATTTTGCAACGCGTTACTAGTAGGATATATAGAAAAAAAAGGGCACGCGACTGCATAATTTTGCAGCTTGTGATCGGTGTAAGTGTATCTACTATCTGGCGTGAGCTCGAGGTCGAACAAAATGGCATTTTTTTCCTTCCGCAGCGCTCGTGTATAGATTTCCGATTCGATCGCGATCTTTCGCGCATGGAATCGCGTCACAATTTACACTACTTTATTACATCCTTGGCATTTGTTTAAATTTTAATGTAAAATGTAAGGTAATGTTCAATGTATATGATTTTATAGTATCGTCAATCGTAAATATGTTGTTTAAAGATTTATAGTAGGGTTTTAGATCTATGCTTTGGACGCCATTTTCAATTCGATGTATACATGTATAATAGATTAGAGATTGTGTCTGAAGAGTTAACAAACAATTAATAATAGCGACTAAGACAGGATCTATTAGACGAATCTTGCAATGCTAAATCTATCTGGAAAACTTTGTAAATGTTCTCTGTCTGGTTAGATCTCTAGGAGATTCTGGTCACGTG